GAATTGGGGTATAATGTTAAATAATTATTCATTGCCTTTATTCTTCCGTCAAAGTGTGTAAAAAAAAAAAAAAAAGCAGCTTTTTATTGCCTTTTTTTATATAAGGACATGGGCCTTTGTGACACACATTTTATTTTAAACTAATGCTTCTATTATTCCACATCTGAATAATTATAGCTGACATCATCTACTCTTCTGTGTCCTAGAAGATCTTTAGCTCTAGTCCACTGTTACATATTTTATGCATTACATGAAATAAAATACCTCAAGATTTTGAAAATATTTATTTTAAAAACAGCACTGAAATTGTCTGTAATCACATTTTCTGCTCTGCTTTGAAAGCAGCATTATTCAATATGCCAGTGGTCTTTTCCATAAGAGCTACATATTAGAAATTCATGCTGCTCTAATATATCTGAATTCCTTCATGTACTGCACTCCCTATAGACCTAAAGAAACACTTTTGCTTCAGTTTCATATGTCCTGCACATTACCTATTGATGTGGTGGTTGTCAAAACAGTTGTACAGTAGCCTTTGAATTCAAAGTGTGCCTTGACTGTATTCTAAAAATGACAATAAACCTACGTATATACATTATGTTGGCTTTTGTTAGTAGCACAAGTAGAGCATTTGGGAAATAAACCTCCTGATTTTATTGTCTTTTAACATCTTTTCCATGTTAGACTTCAAACCCAGAAATTTGAAGTATTTCAAGAAACTGAAATCTCTTTTATTTCTTTCTTATAAATTTTCTTTAGTATACCACCATGAGCCACATTTTCAAAAAGATCAGCACAAGATTACAAACGAAAGCATTCCAAAAATAGGGGCTTTTTTTTTTTTCTTCTCTCTATGTAAAAACAGTACTGTGATTTTTAACCCTGGTTTCTTGGGGAAAAAAGTAATCATCTGTAGGGTATACTAAAGAAGCTGAAATGTCTATAATTTTTTTTATAAATTGAACACACAGAAAACGTAATTTTATAGAACACATCCAAAAGCATTTTTACAGATAAACACACATTCTCATAGGGATATTATATACATGCATTTGTTTGCAAATGTTAGAAGAGTATTTTTTGCAGTCCTTGGAAATATTTTTCGGATATTTCAGAAAAGCTCATGTCAACAGAGAAGGGCTGGCAAGTCAAGCCCCAGCTGGAACTGGGTAAACCACACAGGGTTACCTTCAACTGTAGGAAACCAGGAAGGGACCCCGATTACATTATATAGAAACAAACGTGTACCGAATCATTCTCACTAAACAAACAGCTCTATCTTTTATCAAACTGGATCTAATTAAGAAGCAGGACTAGCAGTCATCTTCATTTTGAAGGAGGACTTTAGAGAGCTCCCATGCTGGGGCTGGACCATGAGTTCATACCACTGTGCCTCACATTCTGCACATATTCTGTAGGCTTCTGAACCCCTGATACCCAGATATAAAGAGCATCTAAAGAAATCTGTATGTGACAGCACGGTATAGTTTAGTGTGCATGTGCATGTCTGTATATGTCTGTATGTCACCTAAGAAGAAAACAGCAATACACAAACACAGAAGTAAATATACGAACTGACAGCAGAATAACGAGGAGAGACTTTAGTGGTTTTGTTGTTTGTTTTGGTTTTTTTTTTTAAAGTAGTGGGGATGCAATAGAAAGTTGAATCAACCAAAAAAACTGCAAAGGAGACTAATTCCAATTTTAAGTATCAGACACAGTCAACAGGAATGAGAAATTTTCATCTCCCAGCAGTGTAAAATTTTTCAGAAAGAATTCCTACAGTGTAAAAAAGTCTGTAAGAAGCTGATCTCTAATACAAATTCACTGAGCTGGTAGTGGGCTCTTATTGTGTGTGTTTAAGTTCCACAGAGGAGAATTCTTACAGAGCTTGGGGCAAATCTTGCAATCCTTACTCAAAGGGATTTCATCTGCAGCTTAGAGGGAGTGTTGCACAGTATGAAACCAGGACTTCTAATGGGGTTAGATTTGAAGGAGTTTTAGGAAAGATATATCCTCAATTTTCAATCTGTCCAAAATCACAGAAATCTTTGTCTGAAAACACCTGGTAGTTGAGATCAAAGAAAAAGGCTACACTCAGTGTACAAAGTATTTCTCCACCATTGTTTCTGAAATGAGTTTCCTTTCATTTTGCTAGCATTAATTAACTCTTTGCCTATTAAAAACACAAACTGAAAAACACTTGCTAGTTCTAACACAGACAAAAAAGAAGGTATTATTGCTAAAATACCAACATGGGTTAAAAAACTGGCTAAAAGGAAAGATGTTGAAAGTAAAGAAAAAAATAACCAAATTCAATCACAGGCACATTGCACTGCAGCTGATTTTGTCCCAACATAAGTAAAATTTGCTGAAGATGTGAAATTAATTAGAGATAGAGAACAGCCAACAGATCTATTTCCAAGAATAATTTTTCTAAAAATACTCATTAGTGTCCTGAAAAATAAAGTGAGACACATGGTTTCCAAATACACTATCAGTATTTGACATACCAGAAATTATACGGAACGAAGGGTTTAGACAGATTGAAGAAACTTACGCATTATATTCTATATGAGGCAATATAAGAGCGATTTAGGCAAGTACATGTTAAACGGATCAGCATTTGATGAGATAGTAAAAAGGAAACTTAGAGATGAGTAATAGCATGAGAAAAGAGTCATATTGAAGAAAAAATGTAAAATTTTCTGGATTATAAAGAAAAGCTTCAAAGCTAAGTAAAAAATGATGACTCTACAAAACCTGTCTGTCTTTCTTCATCTATGGAAAGCCAAAAGAACAATGAAGTCATTCTATTTACTGAAGAAGTCATTGAATTCACTGAAGACTTAAATTGTTAAATTATTTTCCTCAAGTTAATTTATCTCAAGTTATCAAATTCAAATCAGAGGAACCATACTGCCAAATAGTGTTTAAATGTACAAAATTGCGGTGTTTAACATCCTACCAGTTGTTACTAACATGAGATGTAGCTTAATCCCCTTCACAGACAAGCCAGCTTGAGTTAAAACTATTGCTAGGTAAGAGGTCCTCCTGTGTGTAAAGGGCATGCAAGTTAGGGATAACAGCTGACTTAGCCCATGATAATTCAAGCATCATGCTTTATTTATTGAACAAATCCTCAGAAATTACTGTCAGAATTTAGCTCATATTTTCTTGACATCAGATTTTAATTTTTTCTGATCTTCACTAAGTCCCAATAGCAAAATCACCTAGTCATATTATTCATCGTTTTTATATTTGCCCTTAATGCAATAATTCACTGTGATAATCTACAAATGCTCAAGCCCTGTTGTCGAGAGTTTGTTGCAAGAGGTTAATGTGGAACATCATAGCTTAAAAGAATGCATAGTTTTGAGCCATGGTTATGGCTTAAAAGAGGTCAATTCAATGAAATACTGTCTGTCGACTGGAGTGTCAACTATTTCTCTTACTTTTTCAAGTAATTTCATAGCTCTGATTCTCAGAACCCTATGCAAGATTTAACTCTTGCTGTCTAATGCATGCCATCAGCTTTGTAGAAACATAAATAAAATTCAGAATCCTTCCACAGAGCATATTTATATGTCTTTATGAAGATCTGCCTCTGCCCCCACTCCTTCCATTATTGAATATAACCCTGGGGTCAGATTCTGACCTCAAACACAAAGCGCACAACATCCTAGTAAATCAATAACAACTAAGCATCACATAAGAAGCCAAGACTAGTTCCCCCTGCAGTACAGCTTGTTGGACATCCTCAGAGGGAATGTAGAGCTCTCCGAAATCAAGGGAGCCTTATTTTAATCAAGTTGCAATGAAGCTCTGTGATGACGCAGATTTTTGGTCTGAACTGTTTTCCAGCTACCATGGCCCCTGGCTCTAGGGCTTTTAGTCTGAGGGGCTGACGGGGAGCTGAGCCTAGATTTTTTTGGTCCCAAAACTTCCATGTGCTGCCTCAGCTCCCAGGTTTACAGGACTGATTTACGTTTTTTAGATAAAGTAGTGCGGACCTAGCAAGTTGGAAGCCTAAACAGTCTCAGTTTCTAAGCACAGAACCTCCCAGCTGGGACATGAGGCCCTAAGCCTCTGATCCTCTGGTGAGAAGCCCAGACCCTTTATCTCTAGGAACAGGAGATTCTTAACTTAGGCTGTTGGGATCTGCAGCTCCTGGGCAGTCCATCTAGTCCTTTAAGTGCAATGAGACCCACACAGTGCCAGGCTCCATCCTCTTCCATGGGATTTTTAATTCTCTGGCTTAGAATTGTACATCAATGTGAAATAATCTTGTCTGGAGCTGCTATGCATGAAGTATACTAATTATTTGTAGAGCTCACTTGAAAATGTAACGTGTAAAGTAGTAGCTCTGCAGTTGTTATAAGCAATTTAACATTCAAAGAAGTGATTTATAATATCAGGCTTCCCAAGATTACGACCATAATGACTATCTGACAGACTTTATAAGCAAGTCGTCCAGTCATTTCAATTGGATTCTGGCTGGCTAAGGACCGGGAACTGTAAAAAGGCTATAAGATTTGGCCTAGAATCAGAAATAACATTTGCTGTTTTCCAAAAGTGCGGTAAACAAGAAAGGAGATATTAAATTTTTGTACATCTCTCAGCACATGCAAATGAGAATGGAAAGAGCCTCGTCAGACAAACACAGAACAACAGCCATCTGGATCCAAACCCTGCTCCAGTAGAAGTCAGAGCCTTGAGCCTCTTTTTGTCATTATTTACAACACTGTACAACAGGAGCACTTCTGTGCAAGGCAGCAAAGGTTAATGTCCTGGCTTTGAGGAACTTCATTGTAAATCCCCCACCACCTCTATTGGGAGGAGGATTTGACATAGGGAGTGCAATGTAACAAAGTCAGGGGAGCTTGCTCCAAAACTTGAGAGCTGCAGGAGTTGGTCCCCTCAAAGGATTTCTAACAGGTCTGTATTTCCACAATTTTGTAACTTAAAGCAGAAAGAAGGGAAAGACTAAAAATGCTTACCACAGAGAGGGAATTAGAAAGCAGTGTCCCATCTTGGCCAAGCATGTTGGAAACTGTAATTTCAGGTAGATCCATGTTTTGTGGGTGGAATGGAAGGAGGCCATTGTGGTTCATGGGATGACACAGAGAGTGGTACCCAGACTCTATCTCATTCAAGTGCACCAGGGAGTGGTCAGGCAATGATGGAGGAGTTATAGGAGGTATGTTAAAATCTTCACTTTCAAGACTTGGGCCAGGAAAAGACTGGAAAAAAACAACAAATGGAAAGTTCTATGAAAATCATATGAGCACTGGTCAATAATAATAATAATAATAATAAAATTCACACAAAACAAACAAAAAGAGACCAACTCACACACTTCTAAGCATTTACCATTCAACAAAGAGAATATTTTAAAGACCCATATATTATAGCAGTGAAGTTTCACCATTATGTATGGAACAAGAACTGCCTCTAAGGCATAAGAATCTCTGATACTTTCACAGCTTCCATTAAAAATAATTTTTTTTTAAAGGAGGTGAACTCCAACAGATTTCAAGGGTCCGATTAAAATTTTCCAAGAGTGTTCATCTAGCTGAATACCTTTTTCATGGGAATTGTGGAAAAGGTAATGCAATTTATAAAATTAATATTGGCACGAAATTCATAGAGTTCTTAAGACTCCCTGCTACTCAGACCAAGAATTACATAGTGAAGAAAGATATCACTTTATGCTTACAGGAGTACCATGCATTTATTCTGTTACAAAACAAAAAACCCAGTAGATACTTAGTATGAACATACTTTGTGTTTATAAAAATATATTTATGGTGTCTAAAAAAGTCTCTTTTTTTCTATCTTAATATATAAACTCAATTATTCACACATTTTGTCAGTAATCTAAATTAGTTACTCTACAAAGCAACTGTATAGTCTTCTGTTGTTTTTTGCCATTAAGTCATCTAACTCAATCTGATCCAAGGAAAAGCCACAGGCAAAGTCAGAGTAATGCACCAAGGTGGATAATTGCTATTATTTATCTACGGTCTTTGTACAGCAGGTAGGCTCATTTGGGGGAGAGGAGTGGGTATGCTCATATTTCTCAAAAGAAAAAGGTGAGCATAGCTAGATACATGATCCAAATGAAGACTTAAAGGGATCAGTTGCAGTGGTTCAACCTGAAAACCTGCTCTGCTTTTGTGAGAATAGCCAACTCCTTTGTAAAGTGATCAGTCTTTGCACATCCTATGCCCACAGTCAGAGTTTGTAGCACAGAGACTAATTCCACCCTTTCTGCCCCTCTGCAGCACAGCAGCCATGCTCTGAGCACTGCTTTTGCTAATTCTGGAAATGTAAGGATTTAAATACATTCTGCTTCTGAAAAGTATCATCAGGAAGAATGAATATGAGGGCACAATTTCAAAGAGCAACTATTGGAAGAAAATGTTTTCCCCAATATGAGTTTCCAAATGGAAGACAGTATGGTGTATGAATCCATGCAGAAGGACAAGAGAAGAATCAATGCTCAATTATGAACAAAGGGGTTTTTCATTAGTCATCATAGTAATAATGTCCTGCTGATGCCTGAGGTTACTCTCCTCTGTACGAGCATGTATATACAAACTTAAATCAGACCAAGAACAAAAAGCGTTACATGTATTCAATGAGCTGCTGAATGCAGAAAAACCTACTCTAATGCACGTTGCCATGCTTTTGGTTGCTTTGCTTGTTTCCCGACAACCAAGTATCTAGTATATAGAGCAGGAAGGCTAGACTGCAAAGACCAAAGTAAAATCCCAAAGAATGAAAACAGAACAGGGAGAGGAAAAAGTTTGACAGTGATATCATAATTATTATATGTGAGGAGTTTGATTCTACCCATGCTTTCCAGATGTGTTTCTCACTTCCAGCACAGGAGTTTGCTCTCCCCTTGCCCCTGCTATCTCCTTAATGGGAAACTGGTGTGAGTCTACTGACCTTTGTAATTTGCATTTGCCCCTGCTCTTAGAAGCCATGATACAGCCAGCAGTTGAAACATTTCCAAGGGGAAATATAGTAAAAATAGACTCTCACTAAATGGAGAGAGGACTTAAACATGGCAAAGAGAACATGTCACATTTACTCAATAACAATATATAAGCTTTGCAAAACCAAATAAAAGTATTAAAATGTATACGCTATTTGATAATTACTATTATATAAAATCCATGATGAAGAGAAAGGTGTCTAAAGTAAGCTTAAGGTCTAATACCACAATAACGAAGCAGTGAGGAACAGAAATGAAAGAAGGGTAAACATTCACAGTGTTCTCCTGGACCAGCACTATCCCACACATGTACACTTAGATTTGGTATCTGTAATTCTGGTGAGCTTGGATCCACATAGCCTACAGCAACCAGGAGGGATTCATGATCTATGAAAAGAGGATATTTATGTTCAACAGTGTCTCTTCTACTGTCCAAAAAATCTGATGGCCTCAAAAGAGTTTTCTCTCCCATGATTTTGTAGGTACAAAGAAGTGTTAACATCTGTTTTCTCAATCTCTCACTGTCCTGGGAGACTTACATTCACCACTAAAAGCAAATATTCCTAAACCAAATATTGGCAGGCTGGGTGTGCCTACACATTAATATGGCAGGCATTAAGCAAATCTGCTTATTTGTACACCCCTTTTGCATGCCACATATGGATAGACCAGGTTTTGCTTTTGATTTGTTGTGTTTCAAATGTGTCTGTAATTAGTAATACTTCAAAAATTGTGGAAGCAATTGAACTGCCAGTATCACATTAGCTTCACTTATTAAAATGGAAGCATAAAACATTAGCAGCATAAAACTCCACAGTCCAAGTTGTGCCATGCGTAAGTATATATATATGTTATATATATTATAAGGGATAAGCATTTTAAATGGTTGTTCTCTAATTAATTACTAAAAAAACCCCACACCTTGGTTACTGTTTGTGAACCAGTTACAGTGGATTTGATTCCACATCACCTACAATATCACTGTCCACTATACTTAAATAAGTATAGTGGACAGTATAGCAAAAGCAATAATAACACACCAAACAACATATAACTCAAGTGCTAGTACTTCCTAAGATGTTTCTCTTTTTTATTTTTTTTTAAGACCTAAACTATTGCACTATTTCAATAAAGCTAGGGAGAATCCGAGCTATATGACAGTGGTATGGACAGATATTTGAAAGAATCTGCAGAGTACCCTATTCACCTTACATTTTTAGCCAATTTGATATTTACATACTTAGTATGTGTGCATGTAAATGATGTGTGCATACAGACATAACTTCCTCAGGGAAATTCCTTCAACAGTGATTTGCCAGTACTCCAGTTTGTCTTGTCCAGTAGCATGACTCAGATGCTTGTAATGGCTTGGCAGCCTGGCACATTAAAAACCAAAATTCCTAAATACATTTGCAGCAAAACAAACATATCCCAGAAAAAAGGCTGTTGCAATTGTGCCTGGAGGAAAGGAGTGAGAAATGGAAATCCTTGTTGCCGGGGGATTTAAACTGCGAGATTTAAACTCTGAGCGCAAGCCACCTGGAGCATGGTGTGACAATTTGCGTGGCAGTAGGCAGGGTGAGCAGGAAGGGCACAGCCACCCTCCCAGCTCTCTCTGGTGGGTTGTGAGGTAGGTGTGTGGCAATGATTTCCGAATGAGAGAAAGCTGCTCTCAGGGGGAGTGTGCTAACCCAGGTAGAACCCCCAGGAAGAGCTCAAGAAAGAAGTGGAGAGGCTAAGAAGTATTAGGGAGAGTGAAAGGGAAATAGGCTGGTGGATTTGTACCCTTTCGACCCCAAAAGAAGTCCAGCAGGAGACGGCGAAGCCCTGCCCCTCCTGCCATCAGGCAGATGCAGCAAACCAAGCAGACGGGGGGGAATAGAAACAGGTCCCCAATCCAATAGGTAAAGGAATCTCTTCCTGACCCCCATCACCTCCCATGGTTCCCTTAAAGAACAGGTATGAGGCCCTGGACCCAGAGAGTCAGGTAGAGGGCAGTTAAAAAGAGGATCTGTCTGGAGGGTCTCCCGGTTGCACCCCAAACAGATTGCAACCACAGCTATAAAGAAAAACAGAAGGGTAGTTGTTGTAGGTGACTCCCTTCTGAGGGGAACTGAAGGCCCTATATGTCGACCAGAGCCATTCCACAGGGAAGTCTGCTGCCTTCCCGGGGCCTGGGTGAGGGATATTAGTAGGAGACTCCCTGAGCTAATCCAGCCCTCTGATTATTATCACACTGGTGGTCCAGGCTGGCAGTGATGACATTTATGAAAAAGGTACCAGGCTAATTAAAAAGGACTTCAAGGTGCTGGGTCAATTAGTTAATGGGACAGGAGTACAGGTGGTGTTCGCCTCAGTTCCTGCAGTAGCGGGGATGAATGAGGAGAGGAGTAGGAAAACCCATCCTATCAATAGGTGACTAAAGGATTCGTGCTGCCAGCAGAATCTTGGTTTTTCCAATCATGAGGCAAATTCTATGGTACCAAGCCTATTAGAGTCAAATGGGCTTCATTTATCTATCAAGGGCAAAAGGACTCTAGCCCATAAGTTGTTGGGGCTGATCAGGAGGGCTTTAAACCAGGTTTGAAGTGGGAAGGGGTTTAAATCAGGCTCTCCAGAGATGAGTCTAAGGGTGGAAAGCCAGAGTTAGAAGTGAAATTAGCAGCCCAGCTGAAGTGCATGTACACCAACACACACAGTATGGGTAAGAAACAAGAGGAGCTGGAAGGCATCGTGCAGTAGAAAAACTATGATGTAGTCACCATCATGGAAACATGGTGGGATGACTCACATGACTGGAGTGCTGCCGTAGATGGCTACAAGCTCTTCAGAAGGCACAGGCAGAGTAAGAGAGGTGGAGAGGTAGCTCTATCTGTTAGAGAGTCTCTTGACTCTGTAGAACTTGAAGTCAGTAACAATAAGGTTGAGTGCCTGAGGATCAGAATCAAGAAGGCCAACAAGGCTTACATCCTGGTGGGAGTCTCTTATATACCACCCAAATAGGATGATGATGGTGATGAATTATTCTACAAGCAGCTGGTGGATGTCTCAAAATTGCCAGTCCTTGTTCTTGTACGTGACTTTAGCCTGCCAAATGTCTGCTGGAAACTCAACACAGCGGAAAAGAGGCAGTCTAGGAGATTCCTAGAGCGTATAGAAGATAATTTCCTGCTCCAGCTGGTAAATGAGCCTACCAGGGGTGGGGCCCTGCTAGACATGCTGTTCACAAACAGAGAG